AAGGGGGAAGGGGCGAGGGTATGGATAGGTCATCGGGGGAGCGGGTGGAAAAGATTCGGTACATTGGTTGTTCTGTTTCCCCCCCCACTTTTTTCCTGTTTTTTGAGTGTGTGTGTGTGTGTGTGTGAGAGAGAGAGAGAGAGAGAGAGAGAGAGAGAGAGATTGCATCGATCAGTTGCCGCCACCATGAATGAATCAGCTGTCATATTTGTTTTTACGAGCAAAGCCGCAACAGGTCATCTAGTGTAGATTTGAATGCCGGTCTCTATTTCGTCAGTTCATGGGCGTACCAACTGAGCTAGGCCTGTTGATACCCCCCTTATCCCCCTCCCAGTAAACAGCTACGTACTCCCAGCAGAGAAAAGGTAAGGTGGTGTCTGGGCCATCCACCCATCTCATTGCAAAGAATGCATCCTAGCTGGATAAGAGAATGCTGCCAATGTGGTCCAACGGGTTTAGCTCAGTCGGTACACCCATAAACTGTTGAAATGGAGACCTGAGTTCGAACCTAGATGGAACCAGATGAACGAAATTCCTGAATTACCTGGGGCTGGTAAGTTTCACGATGATATCTCAAGGCTGTCGCCCTTTTTTTTTTTTTAATTATTTGGGCCATTTTTCGATTTACGCGTGTCATCCGTGCACAGGGGCCATGCTAATCTTCTCTTTATCGTTCCAATTTTAATGGATGTCGCGAAGGACAGGCTGTTGCCCTTTTCTTTTTTTTTAAAGGAAAAAGTTGAATGCTACGACCTCGTCCTCCGGGAGATCCATTAAAATTGGAACAATACAGAGAAGATTAGCATGGCCCCTGTGCAAGGATGACTCGCATAGACGGAGAAATGGTCCCCCCCCGAAAAAAGAAAAAAATAAAGAAGAAAAAAAAAGCTACGACTCCTGCCCCAGGGTACGCTTTCAAGTTGTTCTTCTGCTCAGCATGCGCGTTCCATGTGTGCAGAGGAGCACCAGGATGACTTCATTATCCATAGGTAGGGAGATGGCACGTCGCAGGAAAGAGAGTGAGAAAACCCGGGCGGAAGAGGAGATGAAGACAATCGAAAGACCATTCTTCAGGACATCCAGTACAATTGGAACGATACAGATGAGATTAGCATGGCCCATGTGGGTCTTCCAGAACATCCGTTAAAATTGGAACGATAGAGAGAAGATTAGCATGGCCCCTGCGCAAGGATGACACACACGAATCGAGGAATCGTAAAGAAGAAGGGGAAAAAAAAAAGAATGGCCCACGTGCAAGGATGACACACAGAAATTCTGAAATGGTCCAGCCAAAACTTGTAACTATATTTAATTTTTCTCACCTCTCCCGTTGCTCTTTCATGGTGTTATCTCTGTGAAGGATGAGATCATGCTGTCATTGCTGCGGACATATATGAACCTGATTGGAGTTGCATGCTTTGTGATTATTGAGAATTCGACATTGGGAATGTTTAATGCGGCTGGGCTTGCAGCAATGACTCCATTCAATGACGGAAGTATGATGTTGATCTAATCCTTTGTTACCCTTGTAGATAGTAGAAACTAGTTTCCCTTTTCCTTGATGGTCAATTGCTTTGTGTTTCAAGAAGTGTGGTACATTTTGTTGTCTTCTTCTTCTTCTTTGTTGTCTTCGTCTTCGTCTTCGTCTTCGTCTTCGTCTTCGTCTTCGTCTTCGTCTTCTTCTTCTTTGTCGTCTTCTTCTGCTCCTGCTCCTGCTCCTGCTGCCGCTGCGGCTGCCGCTGCCGCTCCTTGTTCTTGGTCCTCATTCTCGGTTCTCATTCTTGGTCCTCGCTCTCGCTCCTCGCTCCTCGCTCTCCCTCCTCGTTCTCCCTCCTCGCTCTCCCTCCTCGCTCCTCGCTCTCCCTCCTTGCTCCTCGCTCCTGCTCCTCGCTCCTCGCTCCTCCTCGCTCTCGCTCCTCCTCGCTCTCGCTCCTCCTCGCTCTCGCTCCTCCTCGCTCTCGCTCTCGCCCTCGCCCTCGCCCTCGCGCCTCGCGCCTCGCCCTCATGCTCGCCCTCGCGCTCGCCCTCGCCCCTCGCCTCTCTCCTCGCCCCTCTCTCCTCGCCCCTCGCTCCTCGCCCCTCGCTCCTCGCCCCTCGCTCCTCGCTCCTCGCTCCTCGCTCCTCGCTCTTGCCCCTCACTGTTGCGGCTCGCTCTTGCCTCTCGCTCTTGCCCCTCGCTCTTGCCTCTCGCTCTTGCCCCTCACTCTTGCCCCTCGCTCTCGCCCCTCGCTCTCGCCCCTCGCTCTCGCCCCTCGCTCCTCGCGCTCTCGCTCTCGCTCTGGTTCTCTTTCTCGTTCTCGTTCTCGTTCTCGTTCTCGTTCCCGTTCTCGTTCTCGTTCTCGTTCTCGTTCTCGTTCTCGTTCTCGTTCTCGTTCTCGTTCTCGTTCTCGTTCTCGTTCTCGTTCTCGTTCTCGTTCTTCTTCTGCATATCCTCCTCCTCTTCCTCCTCCTCCTCCTCCTCC